TTCCCGGTGATTTCTCCGAAATTCTCGGCAATACAGAAATACTCTAGGAAAGCTTGAATTCTCGAGAAACCTGAAGCGAGTCGGGTAGACTCGAAAGAACTGGACTGAACCTGAAACGAATCGAGCTACACGAAAGTTACAAATTTTCAGCATACCGAACATTACAAATTTTCGAGAGTCTGACCCGAAACTCGATCATCGAAACTCTTAAATAAATTTAAGCCTTCTTCGCTGCAATAAGAAATTTCGTGCTATTTCGAATTATATGGATGGATATGATATTTTCATTTAAATGGCATGTTTCTTTCGAATTTGTCAAATAGAATTTAGTAAAATTTCTGTTCATTTAATACAGTTCAATTTCATTATAGTCTAATACTTATTTAACAGGTTTGATATCTTAATAGTATATTTGTCTAATGGTCTATCTAGACAAAATACAACTTTCTAATCGAATCTTACAAACCAATGTAAATTTTCGCTTATAATAAAAAACACAGTTTGTTTTGCAGAGTTACATTTCTTGGAATAATAATTGCACTTTGTTCAAAGATCCTCGGTCAATTAGAACACCACGTAGCAATGATCATTCATCTTCAACACTATAATATATTAAAAACAAAAAAAAAACAAAAAATGTATTCTTTAAAAAACGAGTAAAAATGTTCGCGATTGATATTACAAAATCGGCTACTAAAAAAACGCAGACATTATATTCAGCAATTCTTCCAATAGAACTTTCGACATTACTCGCGCGAGAAAATGCAACGTATTATCCACCAATAATATTTTCCCATTCAATATCGTTTCCAACAATTCGACAACGAACCGTCATGTATTTGTGATTCAAAATAACGAAATGATGTAACACTCTGAGAGTCGGTGCTTCGCAAATATGCGACTTCCGCGCGTAAAGTGAGTAACAGAAAGTTTGCATATATGTATCCCGTTCAATAGAGTTGTAAGATAAAACTGTTTCTACCAATCGTTCGTTTTCTCCCCAATGCGTATCACACTCAACGTGTAAATAGTTGAAAGAAGAACGAAAAAGAACAGAACAGTGAGAGAATACGAGAATTGTGTAAGTTGGCTGCAATGGTTATCCAAAGCTCGCGCGGGACACATCTCTTGCGTCTTTTTGCCGCGCTCGTGCTTCTTTGGTGTTACGACCAACACGCGTTCATTTCCACGGGATGAGGATTTATCTTCAGGTGTAGGTAACAAGTCTTTCTTCGTTGCTACTAATTTCCCACGCTGGAAAAAAAAGTGTCGTAAGCACGTATGTCGTCTTTCATAAGAAACACGTCTTTTGTTCGATCTTTTGTCTCAGACAGTCTGTTTGCTCGTTGATTTGGCATTGTTAAAAATTTATCGCGCGAAAGAAAATCAATTTTTAGCATAGTGAAGCTTCGTTCGAACTTCGAACACATGTGACAAGACAGTGTATTTTCATAGCGGAACTTTTAGAGAAATTTATTTTGAAAGATCTTTTAAAAATTTGAAACTCTACGACACGAGTTAGCTCGTAATCCCCGAGTCAAAAAGTGTCGTGCGAATTTGCTTTTTTCATTTGTTCTCGATGCAAACAATGCGAATTTGTAGAAGATTATTATTGAACATAACTTCTAATTAACTAATATTGAAACGAAGTAAATTAAGTATAAGTAATGTATCGGCGAAAACGCTATAAAATTCCTTTTTGCAAATTTTCCGAAAAAGGTAGATGTCTAAAAATATAGGCGATTAATCTCGTAGAATTTTCACGGGATTTTTGCATTCAAAAATTGCACTCTTTGCAATAGCTTGTTGGCTCTGATTTGCTTCTCCGACAGAATTATGCTTTTACCAAATCTGAGACATAATCACGTTGGAATGGTGCCAACAGCGGTCGTTTCAATCGTGGTTTCAGAGGAATCGGTTCCATTTGCGGTTCAGTAGACGAAGGACAAACCCTAGGGAGCAGTGCTACATACAGTTGTTTCATTTGCGGTCACTGACTAAAGTGTAAATTGCGGTCATACGGCTTTCGGCGTGACATTGCGTTCGACGACGATGTTCGAGATATTTGTCAAAGAGATTTGTAAAAATCACGCAACATAAGTTTGAAAAAATAAGTCTGCTGAAAAACAAACAAAGAAAGAAAAAAAAATTAGAACTCTTCGACTTTTGCTCGAATTTCAAATATAGTTCTAGAAAATTAAATGATCCAAACATCTATCAAACTGTTCGCGTATTTTAAGAGTGGAGGATGGTGAAAGATTTAAAGGAACAAATTCTGATTCAACATTAAAATATTCGTGAAAGTGAGAAAGTATTTTCTTTAGTAAAAGAATAGTAGGTAATAACTGCTTGGCGAACAAATGAAGATAACAGGAAGCGAAAAGAGAATGAAGTAAAGAAATTACACGAGGGTATAGTGTGTGAAACACGTAGCTAGGGAGTCGTAAAAGTACAATTACAAACATCAACGAAAAGGGCAATTTCATTCTACCTCTACCCAAAGTCTTAATACCTTCTTCCCAAATAGATCTTCATCGTTGATAAGAAATTAAACATCACCTGATATCTGTGCAGTGTTGAAAAATCCTGTAAATAAATATCTTTGATCATCGATGTTTCTCCCAATGGCAACTGAATGTGTACTTTCCACAATATTATAGAACACTATATGGGATTGGTTAATTCATATTGATCCCCAAAATACTTGGAAAAAAAAAAAAAAAA